AGTAACGCAGAAGCTTTCTAATGCGGACTGCAATCACTTATTCGCAGATAATCCTCCTAGACGAAGCGTGTGGCAGTTAATCGAACCTAGATATGGTCCTCAAAGTTGCACCACTTGGCAAACTCGTTTTCCAATTCAACCGCTTTTCAAGATTGTAAGGCCCGGAAGGAACCTCGGACTATGAAAGCAGCCATTGGCGTCATGCCCGCATTAAATCGTTATTGCCCTCTCCTCTTGGGAGCTGAAAGACAATTCATCGAGGACAAAGTAGACAATGAATTGTATTAATCGTAAATATTTGTACTACAGTACGCAGCGTGGTTGGTTCTCGAGTCCATTTATTATAGTCGAACTTTAGGCTTCGANGGCGTGCTGGCGGAGGCAGTGCTAGGGGAGGAGGGAGGCAGACAGTGTAAGGCAAACAGTCCACGCCCCTTCTAAGGTTGTTTGTTTTCAACCCCTCGAAGGGGCGTGGGCTGTTTGCCTATCTGTCTGCCTCCCTCCTCCTCCCTAGCACTGCCTCCGCCGGCACGCCGGCCGGCCCGCCGGCGGACTATGAAAGCAGCCATTGGCGTCATGCCCGCATTAAATCGTTATTGTCCTCTCCTCTTGGGAGCTGAAAGACAATTCATCGAGGACAAACCTCAAAGTAGACAATGAATTGTATTAATCGTAAATATTTGTACTACAGTACGCAGCGTGGTTGGTTCTCGAGTTCATTTATTGTAGTCGAACTTTAGGCTTCGACTTTTGAAGTGATATGCTGTGGAGCTGATGTGAGATTGTGTCCAGTGATGTCCAACTCTTCACATGGTCAGGCCATCAAATTTTAGGTTAATGCTTGCCCAGACCAATTTAGCCTTCCATTCAAACACAGGGTACCAGTCCTCTCTGTGAGGCAAAAATATTGACTTGCTCAACAGCTAAAGCCGCAAGCCTTGTACAGGCAAACGCCCATCGAAAGGTCACTGTGATTGAGAATGGAATTGTACGGCTGAAACAAATCCCAAAGAAGAGGTTGATCAACGCTAAATAACTCTAAAAACCGCTCTTTAATATGGAATGCGATGGTACTCTTGAAAGTAGTAGAGGGATGCGACGGAACGTAGAAAAGCCACAGTTGTGGAACTAATATTTATTCGTTAGCATGGAAATAAGAAAAACCTCATGATAAACACGGAGAACCTTATCTAAACCTCAATCAACCAGAGTGAACCGATTGCTATTCTCACGAATTAGGGGCTTTGGAGTGATTTTGTCTAGTACGCTACCATTCCCGAGCTCAACTTTCAGAAATATTAGGTTGAGTAAAAAATTTTGATCGACTCTTCGTCCCTTTCTAGATTTTTCCGTAGGACCGCTCGAAAAGACTTCGTAGTGGGTTATAGTAGACCGATCCCTAACCTGTACTTTCAGGGGGATATATAAGCATCCCCTTGTAAGTGCTTCGCAAAAATGACTTCAACCTTAAAATGCCGTCCGAAGCTGTCTGAGAGCTATCGTCTATCACAAATTACTGTAAGGGCATAATCCACCAACGGCTGTCGCAGATATCTGTGGTGCATCCAGAAGAGTCATCGTATCTCAGCCTATACGGGTGCCTCATGACGAAACACCTCCAAGACTAGCAGAGAAGTGGACTATGTCCGAGGAAGGCTTACTGTGTCGTCGGTGGACATTCTCAGGGAACGCTCTGCTTCGGATAACTTACTGTGGACTCCACCGTGACCGCCAAGATTTACGCTCCTCAGCTACAGAGTTTGGCCGACGTTTTCCATAGGAAGCGTCCGCAACGTATAAATGATTGCTTCTTCCACGACAGCGCTCGACCGCATGTTGCGAAATTGTTCTGTGAGTACATTGCCAAACTTGGAAAGGAAGTGCTGCCTCATTCTTCTTATTCGCCGGGTCCCGCTTCGTCTGATTACCACTTGTTTCTTGCTCTGAAACATCTCTTTGCGATTGAAAATTTGATGATTGTTCGGAACTCAAAAATGTAGATCTCGAGCTTTCTTGAATCGCGGCCGCCACCGTTCTAGGCTTCAAGAGCGGTGGCGGCCGAGTAGGCAAGGAACTTATAAGCCCAAATTTTCTTATATCGGCCACCAGAGAAACGTTTTCAGTAGAATTTTCCTTTATCCTTCAGTTCTTAGGAAGTGGTGACATGTTGGTAGACTGAGGGAATATCGATTGATTCTGTGAATCGGTATGTTGTGAAAACTACTGGGAACTTTGTGTATATGGAAATGATGCGAATTTTTCGAGTGCAAATATGAGCAGAATGGATCGGTAAAGTCCTTCACTTGTACAACAAGCAAATAACCCAACAAGCGTTCGCATCATCTCCTTTCTGTAACTGAGCCAAATCTCATCACTGTAGACTGTATGAAGCGCCCATCTAGGCATTTCCTGCTCGCACCTCTTACAATTAGTGAGTGGGATGATATCCGCGCAGATTCTGAACCCAGCATGATGCTGTATCGTAACACTGGCGGGTTGCAGAAAATGATTGCACTTTGCGAAATTTATACGATATGGCAATACGTGAAGTCAAAGATTTACGTTCAAATCCCCTTTCAATAATGTGTGCAACTTACAATTGCAATGACATTACGGCTGGGATTATGAAGGAGACAGGAGGGATACGTCATAACACTGATTTTAAAGCACTGATTTAAGTATGGATTTTTGTGACTGGAAGCGTTGAATCTGTTGAAGTGAAAGCTGGAACGCCTGACGCCACGCCGATAGTTTGACCTTAGAAGAGAAATGAAATCCTTCCGGACGTAGTTGGCCTGGATGAATATCGCCAAAGGATTCGACCCCCGACCAAGCGTGCGTGATAGTGCACCGTTTGCCACTATACCGTCGCCATTTACAGAGATATATAGGTTACTGAAATTCTGTAGGATGAGAGTAGTTCATGGTTTTGATGCTTTATTTATAATCATTCTCTATTATTCACTCGAATATGATCAATTTAGACGAGCTCTCTTGACCGCCATGTCACGGACTCAGCTGCTAGTGCTATGGCTCTTTTTACAGGAAGAAAGGTGAGGTCCAGAACAGAATCTGAGATACTTGAAAGTGAAAGTTCTGCAAACATGATGATGCGAAGCTCACATTGCATGAGGAAATGGACCACTTAATCCACTGAGAGTGCAACCCAGTGCTTCCAGTCACTACGATTACTGTAGATAACTGCATGATATACATAAATAATAGAAGTAATGGGACCAATAACACTGATCATTAGCATAGACGTTGACAGCTTATTGATGTAGGTGAATTCGAAGACACTGGGAATTTTGCCGAGTGCGAAGGAGCGCTGTCCTGATTCAACCAGCACCGATATTGTAGATGGGATAGCGGAAGGAGTCCTTCAGAAAGGTGAAGAGTACCTATCACACGCTTTGAACTTTGGATTGCTTTAATTTTCAGATTTATCGGTGGGCTTCGTGACTACAACTCGAATCACACATGCTACTCCAGCGGCCCTCTATGCCAAGGCAAGCCACCTAACGATCAGCGCTTGGCCAAAATCTAATAGGAGCTGTTTTCAGGGCGTTGTTCGCAATGCGGAGTATGATGAAGCTGAAGTGCACTGTGCAAGGGATATTGCTAAGCAGCTGCTCTCATATCCAGCCTCCGAGTTCAAGGTGCTGTCGCGATACATATTGAAGAAGTTCCTTGATATTTTTCAGTGAGCACTAGTTGTGGCGTCGGGTTGTTGGTAATGCGTCGACATTTTATTGATAAAGCTTCGCTTGAGTATTCAATCAGTGACAACTTTTTATTGCCTTCCTGACACAGGTGCTAATGGGTGGAGGAAGAAGGTGTCTAATGAACAAATCCCGAAATGGATCACGAGGGGACGGAAGAAACATCGACCTTGAATGGTTGCGTCTCGGTGGAAGCAGGAAGGTCTTGAGAACGCCATCGGATCTTAATCAAATTGATGCGGCCAACGTTGACAAGCTGCTCGGTAAAAATTCAATACCTTTCAAGATAAAGACTGAAAGAGCTGCTGATGTTTTCACTTACGCAAGACCTTTCAAAAAGAAAGCTACAGGTCTGCAGCCTTCAAATGTTGATGTCTACATGCCCAGGAATGCCCAGGAATTTTCAGGTATCTTCTCGGATTCCCACTTCCCCTATTACCTGGAAGAGAGATTGAGAAACAAGAAAACCGTGCCAAGACTCCACGAAATGACAAAAAAAGCCATTGAAGTGCTCCAAAAAGATGATCAGGGATTCTTTTTAATGGTGGAAGGTAAGAATGAAGTTCACTTATTTAAAGCTCTCATTCCTGGGTTTCTCTCAAGCTCCTATGCTGCAGGAGGGCTGATTGATCAAGCTCAGCACGGAAATAGCATGCACGTGACGTTCTCGGAAATGTACGAATTCGAGAAAGCGATTCGAGTGGTTAGTTTTAACGTTTGAACAAAGAGAGTTTGTGTTAAAAACTAGCTCAGCCTAGAGGTGTTTTAGTTTGAAATTCATCCCTTTTGGACGTGTTCTTTGTTGCGACGCAAGCGTTAATGTGTGGAACTGGTACATAGAGAGGGGTGGGCATTTTTGCTTGGTCCCGAAAACGTCGGCTGGTTCCCGACAATTTTATTTCATATGAAAACGCCTCTACTCGGATTATTCCTTTACATAGGACACTGATAACGATTTGCTTCTGATTACTCATGGAAGCCATTGTTTTTAGTAAACCGATAAGAATGTCAACGAGAATGCGGACCACTCGGTTTTGCAGGCCCGTGAGATGACCAATCCGAATGAAACACTGATCATTGTCACAGCTGATCATGGCCATGCATTCACACTTCCAGGATATCTTCATGCCAAGCAGTCTCTTTTTGGTGGGGTTTAGTCCCTAAGAAAAAATTTTGTGGACGTAAATTTTTTGTGTTACTCTATATGACATGATACTACATATTTTTATGAAGCTCTACAGGCAAAACAGAGGGTCGCTTTCTCAGTCGCAATTTCCTGCTAATTTCCATGCATCCCATGCTCCTTCTCCCCAAGCCTTATGTGAAAACTTCATTTTAAAAATGTTGGAAATGTATTTAAGCATCATTACGGGCCGACGAAGTCGTTGGAGAAGGCGATATCTCCCCTTCACTGCGTTGTGGCGACCAATGTTGAAGAAAAGCTATCCTCTCCGTCGACGTTAAGAGTCCTGCTGATCATGAATTGGTGGTGGCAAAAGGCTTAGAGGATAGTAGCTTGACGGTATGTTGAAGAAACGCAGAAGGAAGCTAACACATCACTGAAAAAAGGTTTCACGTGGAACGATTCCCGTCACTTGAACAGTCTTCGGTTGATCTGCTGGTAATCCTTTTTTTCTACAACAAAGCCTTACCAGTCAGTGTTGTGATGACCATGCTTGAAAACTTACTCAACACTTATGAACATGCTCACCGAATCAATTGTTGAACCCTAACGACACGACGACTTTGGTGGGAGTGACAAAAGAAAGTATGGGCGGTCACAAGTGATGAACTAGCCGAAGAAGCGGGATTCCAATGAATGAGACCCTTGATTTTGCTGTTGGTTGCGGAGGATCCAGGAAACTAACGAGTCAAATAAGTTCCAATTGTCCGAATCACTTCCTGAGATATCTTTTTTTACCCAGTCAAAGTAAATCCACTGCTGCAGTTTATTCCTCACAACGTTAGCATCCCTGGACCTCTTCGGGAGATGCTGGAGTTCGTACCGGATCGGCATGCCGCTTCGCCACGTCTACCACATGTAGCGGAAATTCAATAGCTGATTGGAGAGCATAAAGATTGGGTCGTTCGTATGATAGTTGCAGTGTTCTAGAGAGACTGCGGCATTGCAGCCTGATGTCGTGAAACCATTACCGAATATGTTTTGCAGAAATTGCATTGGAGAGTAGCCTTTTCTCGAATTCGGTCCTTTACTTTACACTTATTTCCGGTCAACAGAAAACGCCACTCATCGCCCCCTTGCCGGGTGTCCAACCTTTCTATGAAGGCCTTTGCCTTATACGTGCTGCATGGAGAATATGCGCGCAGTAATACAGGCTGGCACCCTGTCTCCTTACCCACCACGTTTGGCAGAAACGAGAACATTGACTAATGTTCAATGACTGTGCACATGATCGATGAAATGGAGCAAATGCTCATGATTCCCATTAAAACAAGTCACAGTTTCACTTCTCATGCGGAATCTTAATGGTGCTCGAATGCGGATTGCTTCACCTGACTCGAGGTAGTCGGACTATGATTTTCACTGTTAAATTTAGAGGTAAAAATAAGGTCAAGTATAACCACCCTCTGAAGGGAAAAGGCCATAAATCAGCTAGGCTCTTACTCATCAATTTAAAGTCTCGGAATCAAACGGGAAGCGAATTGATGGAAGAGGGCGAAACAGTGAACGATTTTCTGGGTGCTATGTTTGACCCTGAAATCATTACAGATTTCAAATCCCATAAACTGCTTCAGAAGAGATTTCGGTTACAAAAGGCAATTATTTAGAGAGTTCAAGAGTAGTGCATCGTGGGGGAAACACAGTCGATAGAGTGGAAAATTGGTTGCCGACCCTGTTCTTCGCTGTTGGACCGGGATACAGAAATGGTTTCAAGGAGCATCCCAGCAGTTCTGAAATAGGTTAGTTTCAGTAATACAGAGGCACCAAGGTCGCTATTGGTTTTAAAACGGCTGAATTGAGCATAATTCACAAGGCTACCCATGTGTTGTTTCAAGGACGACCTTTCTACCGACATCCAACACCAGTCCCAGCGCGAACTGGGTACCACGGAGGAGAGGACGTTGGAATCTGGGCTGATGGACCATTCTCAGAGCAAGTATTTTTGGTCCTATTTGGACTTATTTCAATCAGAATCTTTTGGAAAGCGATCTACATAGGATTGGCACCTGACCAGAATTGATGAGGTTTAGATTGTTCTCAAGTTCATTGGAAAGCACGGAAGTCGCGTACATCATTAAATTCCTACTATGCGCCACTACGACCGACTACTCGATTTGCGATATCGGTACGAGCTCTGGAGTCACAAAGAGAAGTGCGGAACATCTAGAAGTTTTTGAGAAAAGTAGGTTGTCTTTGTAGCAGAAGATGAGCTACTTGCATAGTTTCAAAATCAAGAGTCACGTAATCTTCGCCATCCCTAGACCTCCTGAAATAGATGAGAACGCTGTACGCTGCTGCTGCGCTTCTGATTCAAAGTAATTGAGTGCATGCCTACAGACCTCATCTTTGCTACTCGTTCTTATACAAGAAGATCTTCTAAAGAAGAAGTCTCCAGCCTGCAAGGTATATGGTTATCCTTATGAGTTTCCTCATAGTGAGGTGTTTTCCCTCGTCGTTCCCTTTTCCTGTTCTGCACAAATGTGCACATACATACATACATGCATACATACATACATACATACATACATACATACATACATACATACATACATACATACATACATATATACATACATACATACATACATACATACATACATACATACATACATACATACATACATAC